AGCAAGAATATTATAAGTTTGAGGCCAGCCTCAGCAATTTAGCAGGTTGTAAGCAACTTAGCAAGGCCTGTCTCAAAATGAAAAATAAAAAAAGGGATGGGGATGTGGCTCACTGGTAAAGCACTCCTGGTTTCAATCAATTCCCAGTACTCAAAAAAAAAAAAGAAAAAAAAAAGAAAGAAAAGAAAGCCAAAACCACTCTTAGGGACATCTCTACACATAGTCATTGAAGCTAATGAGGTCATAAAAAAATTACAAACTGTTTGCAAAAATAAACTATCATGATACAGAATATTGGAATCAGCAAGCCAAGAATAAATTGAGGATAGAAATGAGAAGGTTCAACACACTGCAGTGAGAATTAGAGAGGGGCATGGGGAAAGCACAGTACCTTCTACTCTTCCTAAGTAGCAGGTAAGAAGAATCACTTGCAGCCTGCTGGAGTTCTGTTCAGGAATGTCCCCCACAGGTCCATGTACTGATAGCTTATTCCACAACCTGTGGAACTCTTGGGAGATGGCAGAACCTTTAAGAGGTGCGCCTCAGTGGAGGTCTTTGGTCGTTGGGGGTGTGCCCTTGAAAGGGATTGTGGGATCCCAGTTTCTCGTTCTCTATCTTGACTTCCTGGCTACCAGAAGATAAGTAGCTTGCTCTACCATGTGCTCCCACCAATACTGTGCTGTCTCACCTTAGGATCCAAAGCCATGGGGCCAAGTAATCAGGAAATGTCAACTCAAAACTGTGAGCCAAAATCACCCTTTTCTCTTTATAAGTTGATTATCTCAAGTATTTTGTTTAAAAAACAAACAAAACAGTAACCAAAAAAAAAAAAAAAGAAAGCTGACTAACTTATAGCCCCAAGCAGAATATATTATTTCTAAAAGAAACAAACTCTAAGACAATTACCTTTGCTTGAAATAGGTCAATGGAAGGGACTGGGATCTTTATTTTTCTACTTCAGTTGAATAATTGTGCCAGAACTCCATTCCCTATTCATATATAGATCAGGGTTTGGAAATTAGGGAAGAAAAAAAAAATAAAAAGGAAGAAAGACAAAAATGAGACAGTAAGATATGGTATGTCATCTCCTTAGAACAAAAGTAATAAAATTACAAAATTTCCTAAAAGGAATGCATCATTCCACTATGCTCAGCACATCTCAAGACTTGTTAATAAGCTACTACTTTATCAACATCTCTATTTACCAAATTAACTCAAAAGCCAAAGAGAAATATTTAATTAGAGATGAAGATATATAAGGAAGCTTCTACAGAATTCCAAAAAATATGTGAGATTATAAGAGCACTAAAGTTAATGGCACCTGTTCATTATACTACATCAATTTAAGTTTGAATGTGACAGTCTTCTTTTCCCATGATTCAAATTTCTTACTAGCACTAGTCATATGGACCAGTCATTTGGGATAATCTGCACATACAAGGATGAAGTGTATTTTGAGCTTTCTGCCATAATGGGAAGGATAGGTTAGGTATCAGCTCTGGGACTTGGCCACCTAGACAAGTTACACCCTCTTTGGTCCCAGTCTTCTTCCATATTATGTGGGATCCCAATCCCAGGGTGTGTGAAAGTAGATGAAATGAAATAACTGAAGTACCTTCTAGTAGATGATAGAGCCATGCAATATGCATAATACTTTGTGGAGACCATGCTAGAACACAGAGTTAAAGGGACAAAGCTATTAGGTGTACCTGTGAGAAGCAAATTATCTGGAGAATAATTGATTGGGTATTTACATCAAATCACTTTGGACTGAGAGGTCTTATAAACAAACTGAGTCAAAAGTCTTAAAGTCAAAGACTATAGGGGAAGAACCTAAAACATGACTGCCAAGAGGGTTCACTGTTCAGGTGGAAGAGCTGGGCCCACCAGGAGAGTGGAGGAGAACTGCAACAACCTTTTCTAGATAAGAAGTATTTGCAACTATAATGCTACGTATTTCACCAAGCCTTTAATATGCAAGAAAACCTCAACTGAAGCACAACTCACGGCATTTCATGCAAATGATTCAGTGATTCCCAAAAATCTTTATAAAATCATAACTTTTTTTCTTTTTTTTTTTTTTTT